CACAATCATGGTCCTGTTCGAGCCCATCATTGCAGCCACCAAGTCCACCCATCTTTTCAAGGATCTTCCTCTGGTTTGACCTCTGCTTTACCAAGCATAATGTTCTTTCCAGGGATTGAGGCAGGGGCCCTGATAATGTCCAAAGTACGTGAGACATTCTCACCATCCTCACTTCTAGGGACCATTATTAAAACCATAGCTGTCAAAACAATGCTGTCCCACTGATAGATGCCAGGGCTCTGTTGAACAGGAAAGGCCAACAGTCTCCCAAGCAAGCACCCATGACTTAGAGTTAACTTCACCCCAAAGCGGCCCTTTATCAGACCACCCAGGGTTTCCAAGGCTGCGATTTTTCTGGAAGCAGACCACTGCATCCTTCTCCCACAAATCCACCAATTTGCTCAAACCACCAGCCTTTTGGTTAGCAACCTAATGCTTTAACTGGTGTGCCACCAGGACTCCAGGAATCTCTTGATGTAAGCCACATTCGTCGTTAGGAAATTTAACTTGGTCTAAGGTCTGAACCTCAGAGACCTGATTTTCAGCAATAAAGCAGGAACAGATCTCTCATTAAATGAGTTCACTGGGACCAAGGTAGAAACCAGACTGCCAGTTGTCAGTAAAAATAAACGGTTGCCTCGGGGCTTAGGAAACCCATTGAATCGAGCAAGCCTTCCTCTCCCTTGCCAGTGCTTGGACCACTGCCTCGAAGGGGCCTCTTGCTGTCTGCATCCAGGGCTGACCGACCCCTCCGATGAACCTGGTTTTTAGATGAATATGTGTAATCAGGTTACAGTCTGGTTGGGCGGCCCTGATCTATCTTTGCTTTGATCCACTGTGTGTGGACTCAAGTGTGTCTCCTAAGAGAGGCTTCCCTCGGTTCCTGAGTCCGTGAAGCATCTCGGCTCCTCGGCTTCCATTCCACACCTTCACTACACAGTGCGAGTGACTACTGAGCGCACACGTGCCAAGCCCTCTCGCTGCCCATCAGCAGTAACATGTTCCAACAAGTCTGCCTTTTAAGTGTCTCCAGTTTGCCCTCTCCATCCCCAGTGCCATGGCTCCAACTCTGGCCTCCCCTGTTTCTCAAGGCACCCCCAAAATCTCCGCTCTCTGCCACCAGTCTGTTGCCTCTGTATAATCGGAGTGGAGTAGTAGACTGAACTCCCATGAGCCAGGAACCAGCTCCGATAATGACCTGTCCTCTCCAGTCATAGGTGATCGGCTTCTACCCACTCCATGGCATTTTAAACCTATGCTGATACCTTGTATTTCTTTTGTAAAATGTTCAGTATGTTAATGAGTTGCACTTAAAAACTCTTCAAATAAGAAATGCGACTTCTAATATATTCAGGTGAATAGTACAAGGGGGCTTCAGAAAGTTCATGGAAGAACTCCGTTACCTTTTCATTGTATTTTTTCCTGATAGTTTTTTTAAATCATTTTATTGGGAGCTCTTAAGATAGAACAACCCATAGCTCTTCTTGAACTCCTTGATATCAGCTACTCTTTATCCCCTCCCTCCCCTCATGAAAGTTTTGAAGCCCCCTTTATATCATATGAAAGATGATCTCCCGGAGGAGATGGAGGTGTGTCTCTACAGAAGGGCCGCCCACTTGGCTTCCCTGCTCCAAGTGTGGGGACTGTGTTTGGCTCCCAACATGGACGGGTTCAGATGCTGCCTCCCTTCTGTGTCTCCCACAGTCAGAACTTGAGAGGAGCGGGTGCTTTTGTGGGAAGAAGAGAGAGGCAAGGGAACTGACACTTATTGAAGACCCCTCA